TTTGGTGTTCCAGTTAGTGATTTTTATGGTACATTTAAAAGCCAAACAAAGGCTGACAGCCGAAGCGGCTAGTCTTAAATAACGAAGAACTTTATTAACAAATTTCAAAATCATGAACAGTAGGACGTGCAGATGCAAGACTCCAATTCTCGCATTAAATCTCCATAAACTTGTAGAACGTTGTTTATAACTTTCAGAAGCATAAACTGTAGAATATGTAAATACAGGATTCTGATTTGAGTGCTGAAGACCTTTATAGAGTTACTATAAAAGTATTGGTTTGGCAAGAAAGTAATTCGGTTTCTTCGTGGGAAATAAAACTCAATTTGTCTTTATAAAAGTAATTTTGTATTCAGTCGAATATCTTCCATCCTGTTCGACAATACTTTGCCATATTGTTGGTAGCTTCATGATCCCCCGCTCGTAGAACTTCTGGTCTTCGTCAGCAAAAACCTCAAGCAAGGGCGATTTGATGTCATCGTTATTAATAAAATTTTTACCATTTAAGAAATTTCGTAAACTTCAAAATAATTGATATAGCGAAGGTGCAAAGTAGTGGCTATATGACGGTTGCGGCATCACTTCCCAACTAAGTTTCAATAATTTCGTACGCATTGCTAAAAATGTGTGAGGTGTGGCATTGTCGTGGAGAAACACAATTTCTTTGTAATTTGACAATTATGGTCTTTTCTCTTTGATTGCTTAATATACTATCATAAGTTGTTAGCAGTAAACATCTGAGTTGATCGTTTGTTTGCTTGGAAGCTCAAAATACACAATAACTTTGTAATCCCACCAAATTGACGACATGACATATTTCTGGTATTATCTGGGCTTCCGATATGATTTGTGCTAACTCATCATATTTGGACTATGGTATTCTGCGATTAATGTTATTATAGACGATCCAGTTTTCATCAGCAGTAATAATTCCTTTTAAAAACGTTTGACTGCATGATGTTTAAAATGCGTATCGCAAATATTGATTAGTTGTTTTAAGTGAATCCCTTTCAGTTCATGTGGAACCCAAATGTCGAACTTCTTAAAGAGTCCAGGATATCTTATATGATTTTCAACTATTATATTTTTGTTCAATTCAATATTTAACCTTTTTGAAATTCTTGCAAAGTTATATGACGATTCAAGTATGGCTTTAAGTTTGTCCTCATCAACTTCATAAGTTAGGCCAGAACGTTTTTTCTCTTCAAGTGAAAAATCTCCAGAACGAAATTTTGTAAACCAGTTCTAACACATGTGTTCAGCTAAGCAATCGGCATCATAAGGTTTACAAATCTCTTCGTTATCCTCAGCCGCTTTCATTACTTTATGAAAATAAAAAGTAAAATATTTGAGAAATATTTAGTTTTGCATCCTCAGTTAAAATTGACCATAAATTAACCGTTGTAAACAGAAATATACGGAATTTGTTTCTAAAACAACCTAAAAGTGTCAGCTGCCTAATCTCAAACGAAAATAAAATGTAAGATTTGACAGAAGAATAACAAAACGAAAATAACGCTATCTACTTTTGCAAACCAAAATTACTTTCTTGCCAACCCAATAATTTCCCGTTAAAAAAATCTCACTAATTAATACTCACAGAAATTAAAGTAAATACTAAGCAACAGATATTACTCTTCTTAATTCTGTATTAAATACATGTATGACCTTTTTAATTTCGATGAATTGACTTTCAAATTTTATCTATAAATCACATCTAATGATCTATGGCATCAGCTATTGGCAACAGGATCAAATATCCAGCTTTTAACAACTCCTCACGAATGGGATGGAAGACCTTGACATTCGGGCAGAGCTTTTGTTACATTTTCTCGCTCTACTTGCATCAGCATCGTCCAATGAAAAAAACCATTACATTCAGCTTTTTTGGGATATTAATTCTCTATAGTGAAGATACATCAGCTGTAACAAAAGAAATTAACTTCAGTCTATATAATGGTATAGCGGATCGATTAAGAATATGTTTTATTCATATATTGTGTATCTTAGTTTACCTAAATTTTTAAAATCGTGCATCAAGCTTGAAGTCACGAATTTCAGAATTGACCTTTCATGATACTTTCTTCTATTTTCAGTTTTTTTTTGCATTAAATTCTGGTTGTCAGGATACACAAGATTGCAAAATATTGCATCGAAGATATGAGGCAGTGGCTACTGGCTAAAACATACTTATTGGCCGAACCGCGACGAAAGCGACGCAAAGTATGCAGCGCAAGGAGAAAGTATTGTCGTAGAAAACATCGCGATAGACAAAAAATGTAACGAGGGAATTTCGCTGTTCTGAAGCGGCAGTATGAAAATTCATTGGTGGAGATAAAGGTGACTCAAATTTTGCTGCTTGAAAGCGCCGTCGAATAAAGTTTAAAGTAGCAGCAAAATGACAAAGACCTTGGAGAAAAATGCATGACAAAGACCCTAGAGGAAAATGCCTTTAGTGTATCTAAAATGTTTAGAATTTCATGAAAAGTATTTTTGTAAGTGCAGTAGTATTTTGAACACAGTGAACTCTCTTAGAGTTGACTGATTCCGGTTTCAGGCTAAATAAGGAGATCAAGAGATAACAATGAGTAATTTCGATCTGCACTTAAATATTATCATAAGTAATTTAAGAAAGAGAGAAATAGAGAAAATAAAATAAAAGATCTGAAAGGTTTTAGATTTTAAATTACGTCCAAAGGGGCGTTTTTTTAACATTTTGTGTGTTACCTTTATTTATTAAATATCATGTTCTTCGCACTTAAACCATAAAATTCAGTTCAAGAGCAATATCGCAAAATAATTTAAAAATGAGCATATCTTTAGAATTTCCGATACAGTCTCGCGCGCTGGAGGTAAAAATGCTTTTTATATACAACGTTGCCATTCTTCGCTTTGAAATCCTAGAGTTTGTTTATCAAAAATTCTTTAAAGTTTTACAAAATATGAAATCGATAAAAAAACAAATTCCAAATTTGGGCTTCCAGATGCCCATATTCGCAGTAGGATTACGTCATTTAAAGTTGGATAGCTCCAGGTACCGTTGTTTTATTACAATGCGAAAAACATACATATATTTATGTAGATTCTTCATTATTTAATTTTTTCAAATATAATGCAGGACGATAATATTTGCTGGCAACAGTTTGAAAATGAAAGAGTGGTTCGACGCAAAATCGCGAAACGAAAACAATAGTCCCTCAAAGACAAAGCCCCTTTGGACTAGTAAAACTGTACTTTTATATTTTCTTCAATTCAAAATACAGTGATTGTCTTTTGGAGACTATCTTTGAAAGTAACAGATATTTCTGAAAAAATAAATAAACGTGTTTATTTAGCTTCACTTCACTAAGACGCCAGACTTGCACGGAAGACACATATTGTTTGCGAGCGTCGTATTAGAGAGAAAACTCTGTGCTCAAAATAATGCAGCTCTGTATTCTGATACTGAACTATTCCTGCAATGTGTAGTATCTAAAAGAATTTCAAGCAGAGCTATTTCTCTACTGTAGGCAAGTTACTGCCCTGATGAAAATCTTCTTGCGCGCAGAAACAGATTAAAAATTCAACTCAATTTAACTTCTCCACGTCTTGTAGGTTACAGCTAAAATTGGAATGCAGAGCTAAAACAATTTTACTTACTTCTCGATAATACTGTGAAAAAATTAAAGCAACCTTTCTTGTAGTATTGCAATTACAAAAACAAAATTTATCTCAAATAATACATTCGGCTTTTAAGGTCATTACCATTTTAAGATACGTTTCTAAGTTCATTTATCAGACCGGACCAATTAAGCACTGTTGCCTCCCACAAATGCAGACTAACTTTAATTTCACCGAGCCAACAGGACAGGTTGTTGTTTTCCTGCTCATGCTCCTAACTCGCACAACCTTCTGGTCTGAGCTCATATGTATGACGCGTACCAAACAGGAGACAGACAAAGCTAAAATTGATCTTAATTATTATTAAACGTTAAAACTAATCGTCCCAAGCTTCTCATTGTTTAATGAAAACATTAAAATAAGATTAATTTGTTTTGGAATATAACCACAACTTAATAAGCTCTTAACTATTTCCTTTAACAATAAATTATTTTTTTTGTTGATGAGGTATATAAACTTTTGGAAAGACTGTGGGCCCGTCAGTAGCTCAGTAAAACTCATCATTAAATAAATCACTTTACACAAAAACTCAAAAATGGACTGTATACTAAAATTTATTAATTACCCAAAAAGCCGCATAGTTAGTTCTCATCTCTCGGCGGCGTCTCAGAACACACTCCAAAAAACTCAATACAAGTGGCCGCAAGATGGTGCTTTTAACATACATCAGCGTCATCGCTTTAGAAGACAAATATTACATATTTTCACAGATGGCGCCTCTGGCGTCAACATCCTGCCCGGCCTTGAATGTTATATTCAACAATAAATTTAAAATACAAATTATAAAATACAAGCACAACACTCCAAGATAATAATAATGATGGTTATACAATTATACAAACTCAAACTTGATAATTAACTACAAATAAAATTTAAGTAACTGAAACATTTTCATTAACAAAAGGTAAAGGTACAATTTTTGTCATTGGCCTTTTATAGGTTCCATTTTTATCTTTAAGTGTCACAACTCGAATAATATTATCTTGACCTGGACGGGTTTTAATAATTCGTGCTAAATGTCACTTTAAAGGAGAGTAATTATCCGAATCTTTTACTAAAACTAAATCTCCTTCCTTCATTTCTACTTTTCCTTTATACCATTTAGGTCTATTTAAAAGTTTGTTTAAATATTCAGAAGACCATTTTTTCCAAAAATTTTGATTTAATTTCTGAACCATTTGCCATCTAGTTATCCGATTAATAGGAATCTCTGTAAAATTAGGTTCAGGCAATGCAATTAAAGATGAACCAATAAGAAAGTGAGCAGGTGTCAATGCCTCTACATCATTTGGATCATTTGATATGGGACAAAGAGGGCGAGAATTAAATACCGATTCAATTTAAACAATTAGAGTAAAAACTTCTTCATAGGTTAGAATTGTTTTTCCCACCACACGTTTCAAGTGATATTTAAGGGATTTGACACTAGCTTCCCATAAACCTCCAAAGTGAGGAGTAGAGGGAGGATTAAAATGCCAGTTTATGCTTTCAGTAGCCAAATAACCTTTGATTTCTTCCTTACTTTTATCCTTAAATAAAGATTTTAAAATCGCTCTTAATTCTCTATGAGCACCCACAAAATTTCTGCCATTATCACTGAAAATATCTGAGGGTTTACCTCGCCTGGCAATAAAGCGTTTAAGTGCTGCTATAAATGCTGCACTTGTTAAATCATTTACAATTTCAAAGTGCAAGGCCTTCATAGTGAAACATACAAAAATACATAAAAATACTTTTCTTACCTGTTTATTTCTACCTACAAAATTTTTTACCACAAATGGACCACAGAAATCGAGTCCTGTTTTAGCAAAAACTCTTGATACGGTCACTCTCGCCGCTGGTAAATCAGCCATCTGTTGCTGCACAGACCTAGAATTTACCTGTTTACAAATCATACAATTAAATATAATTTTTCTAATTACATTTCTTGCAGAAACAATCCAAAATTTACTTCTTATAAGTGATAGGGTTGTTTCAGCACCTGCATGAAAATAAAGAACATGAAAATGATTAATCACAATTACAGTAAAATTATGTTTAGTTGGCAGAATCACAGGATGTTTTCTCATTTCACTTAAGTCACTGTTTTTCAGTCTGCCACCCACTCTGAGTACTCCATCATGATCTAAAAATGGACACAAATTCAATAATTTACTACTATTAGGAATATTAGCACCCTTTTCTAAGCATTGGATTTCTGTCCCAAATGAAGTCTTTGAACGTTTTTCACAATACACAATAACGCACTAGAAAGTTCACTGGTTGTCAACGTTCCTCGTGTAGCATGCAATGGATGCCTGGTGTTATACAAGAATCTCTTGCACCAAGCCACTACTCTTAGCAATTTGTTGTAAGATGAACAATTATTGATGACATCTAATGGCTCATAAGTGTTAATAAGTGCACATATTTCCCTTACTGCTGGTGGTTTTAATTCGCGAAGGTACAGTTCTTCGGACTCCTCAGGAATATCATCTTGGCACTTAGTCATCACAGGTTGAAGAAGAAATGGGGGACCACGCCACCACAGTTCACACAGTTGAAGTTTGACCGGATCAGCACCTCTTGATATGAGATCCGCAGGGTTCTGTTTAGATGGGACGTGATGCCACTGTCGCACCTCCGTCATTTATTGAACCACCGCAACTTGATTAGCAACAAACGTTTTCATACAACAGGGCTCCTTTTTCAGCCAAGCCAAAACTATCGAAGAGTCACTCCAGAAAAATACATTATTCACATTAAGTTTCAGAGCAGATATTACTCGAGTCATTAACTTCGCAAGCAATACAGCTGCGCATAACTCTGATCTTGGTATGGTAACTTGCTTTATAGGAGAAACTTTCGATTTACTTGTTACCAGCCTTATCACCACTTCACCATACTGGGAGACGGATTTACAATAAACTACAACTCCATAAGCTAACTCGGAGGCATCACAAAATGTCTAACTCAATAACAATTGCTTCTGCGACAAGAATGCATCTGTTAATTTCTAATTTACATATTTGTGGTAGTTCAGAGAAAAACCGTTGCCATTCTTTGGCTTCTTTATCAGGTAGAAGATCGTCCCAATTGAGCTTCAAAACCCATAGTCTCTGAAGAAATATTTTAGCTTTAGCTATCACGGGACCCAAAAAACCAAGTGCGTCAAAGATTCTCGCTATTGTTGACAAAACTTGCCTTTTAGTAATTTTAGACTCATTTTCCAGTTTCACTTTAAAACTAAAACAATCTTTATCGCCTTCCAGGAAACACCAAGGGCTGACACTTCATTCGCGCACTGAAATGTGTATCCATCATCAACGTTAACTGCAAGCTCCGGATTGTTGCTACACCATTTGTGCAGAGTCATAGTTGCACTTTTTAAAATCTCAATTAATTCCCGCTGTAGCTCTTTTGCCGAACTCAATGAACTGAACCCTGTTAGAACATCATCCATGTAAAAATCACTCTGTAGAACTGCAGCTGCTCATGGAAAATTTGTGAACTCATCTATAGCAAGCTGACGTAATGTTCTCATGGCTAAAAAAGGTGCACTTACTGTGCCATAGGTGACCATGTTCAACTCAAAAGTTTTAACTGGACCATTAATTGACTCTTTCCACAAAATTCTCTGTAGCTGCCGTCGAGTAGGATGAATCGATATCATTCGGTACATCTTTTTGATATCCGCTGTAAAAGCATAAATATGTTTTCGGAAACGTACCATAATTGAAAACAAGTCCTCTTGAATTACACCACCATTATACTGAATTGAATTCAGTGAATTACCTTTTGACGTTGAAGTTGAAGCATTGAACACTACTCTCAAAGGTGTCGAACTTTTCTCAGGGCGATAAATACGTACCAAGGTGTGGAATATAATACTTCTCCTTTTGCTCATCTTCATCTTTCGCTTCAGTCATGTGACCTAGCTCACTGTATTCATGTAGAAAATCACAATAATAAGTAATTTTCATCCTTATTTAAACGAGTCCACAACGAGTTCAACCTCTTAAGCGCGATTTGTTTCGAATTCCCTAAACACACTGGATCTTCCTTAAACGGTATCTTGACTACATATTTTCCGATTTCAGTCCTGTAATAGTTTTTGAGAAAATGCTGTTCACAAATTTCTGCTTCTTTACTCTTAGAAATCTGAGACTCTCTTTCTACGTTTTCGATTTCCCAAACCTCTCTACTGCTCTTTCTAACTCCAAATTATCTGTAATAACCCCACAATGTAATTTACTTTCCCCTTTAGCAGGAAGAGTTCCACTTACAACATAGCCAAAAACACTATTTTGTAATCTTAAATTTGAAACCTGAAGGGAAATTTGACCTGGTTTTTAAAAGCTCATAGAAATGTTCTGCACCTATCAGAAATTCAATTGGACCTGGCTCAAAAAATTTGTCATCTGCTAAATTGATATTATCTAAAGATGAAACACAATTTCAAGAGGCCTAGAGAGCACATATTCTGTTATTTTAGGAACCACCAAAAAATTTAAACTTAAATCGAAACTCTTATCTCTATTTAAAATAGTTGCACTAACTCTAGATTTTATATTCAAAGACAAATTATTTATTCCTGAAACAGAAATGTTAGTCTTTTCTCCCTTTAATTGAAGTAAATCTGCTAACCTTTTGCTCATAAAATTCGAATTAGCGCCGACATCTAACAAACCTCTAACCTTAAAAAAGTTACCCCATGTATCTTTAATTAAACAAACAAAAGTGATGAGTAAGACAGCTTCAATTCATTCGCGAGATTGCACGTTGTTGATAATAAATTTTGATCAGTACTCGTTTTAGCTTGCAGAGGTTCAAATGATGGAGCTGAAGCATCCAAATTCGAAGGAATATTTTTATTTTCACCACCTGCGCAACTGAGTTTATTTTTTGTTCGCGAGGGAAATGGAGAGTCACGTGATGTTTCTTTCTACAAATACCGCAAGAGAATTTATTGCTGCAATTAATCACTTTATGATTTCCTAAACAGTTGAAACATTAGCTGTTTCGATTTCACTAGCCCAACTCTATCGCTAACTGTCATGTTTTTATAAACAGGGCATTTGTACAAAGGATGAATTTCATTGCATGATAAAATACATTTCGAATTTTTTACATCAATTAGAAAAACCTTTGACATATTTTTAGAATAACTATTTTTATTACTTAACCTAGAATTATCCACTACCGGTTTTCGCTTTGATATATAATATAAATCTATCTCCTTCGCCAATTCTACAGGTTTAAACCAAGAATTTCCTTGCCTTACCTTTATAAAACACATAACCTCTTTATCAAGTGTTTGACATATTTTATCAGAAACCATTAATTGTTTGAATGTTTCAAAGTCATTTACCTTTCTCAGTTTCAAATAATAATCCCAACTCGTCTTTAATCTAGACGCGAAATGCACATAAGTTTCATTCGTCATTCGTTGTGAATTTTCTAAACAAATTTGGGGGGATGGTTCGAATTCTCTTAGCACTATTTCTTTAACCTTCGAATAATCTCCTAATTCGTCGTCTTTAATGTATGTAATAATATTTGTAGCTTTATCTCCTAACAAATTTAGAAGAATTTCCGATTTAAATTTCTCTGAAACATTTTTTGAAATGAACGCCCTTTCTAACGACGAAAAGAAATAATCCCAACCTTCCGGTCTAATTGGAATTTTAGTTGTTAATGTGCGTATACTTTTAATAAGAGAGTCAAGAGATTCTACATTTTCTCTTTTCTCATTTTCTATGAGGTTTTCACTTTTTGATTCTGCTCGCAACTTCGCGAGTTCTAGTTCCGATTTCGCTCGTTCCATTTTCAATTTCTCAAGTTCGAGCAATCGGCTCTTGTCACTTTTCCTTTCGTCAATAATATTATTAGCTATACCTTCAACTAATACAGGATCCTTCTTATAGCTTTCACTGTTTTTAATTATATCAGTTAGATCTGATATAGTTTTCGCTTCTGAAATGTCTAAATTCAGCTACAGCAATACGCTGATAATCTTCTTTTTTTGCACTTTTAAACATTTTTAATCTACGTTTTCAATTACACAGTTATTACAATTAAGGCCACGTACCTTCTATTTAAAAGTAATCCACAAGTTTTCTTCAGACGCTGACACAGAATTCATGCTCCGGATTGGATAGGACCAACAATGGGCCCGTCAATAGCTCAGTAAAACTCATTAAATAAATCACTTTACACAAAAACTCAAAAAGGGACTGTATACTAAAATTTATTAATTACTAAAAATCTAGTTAGTTCACATCTCTCGGCGGCGTCTCAGAGCACACTCCAAAAAACTCAATACAAGTGGCCGCAAGGTGGCGCTTTTAACAAACATCAGCGTCATAGTTTTAGAACACAAATATTACATATTTTTCACAGATGGCGCCTCTGGCGTAAAACAGATTGCATGCCAATATGAAACAAAACAGCATTTCTGCATGGTATGCACCATTCAGTAAAGTTTGTGAGATTGAAAGCACGAAGTTTTGAGTTAACAGGTGGCATCACTTTATTGCTAACAAACCAATGTTCCGATTCAAATAAGTATCTAATTTCAAAATTACTTGCTGTAGAAAGCACAGGAACTGGAAAGGACCGCCTTTTAGCTCGAAAGTTTCATTTCTAATGCTGATTTTGGGTAAAGACATTTTTAAAACTGTAAAAAAATCGGAAAGAATTCAGATTTTGAAATCGGACTAGACGGTTTTCAAACCCCCTGTAACCACGTTTTTATACATACATACATACATATACATATATGTAATAATAAAATTCCATAGTCAAGAATACACTTAAAATTCTAACTGTATGTTCTTTTCATTTTTAATGGCGACGTTCTCTTATTTGAAAGTGCATCGAATTAAATCCACAGCCCCGTAGTCAAGTTGTTTTTCCCGCCTTTTCTACACGTACAGTTATAGAATGTTCTGGAAATATTTAAAGCGAACTGGATTGGCTGACGAGGCTGACGTCATTTCTTGGAAGCTCCGCCTTTCCAGAGGCTATAAAAGGACTCGCAAAAGAATATCGGGGCTTTTTCTTAAATATCACGATGCAGTAAACTTCATACAAAATGTTATTAGTAGTTCTTTTTATTTACTCCGGATATCAGATTTTGTAACTGCTATTTCCCTGACCAATAATAAATGGATCCTGGTTTTCAAACTTATCGTCTGATAATTTAAGCTACGACTACATTTATGATTCTTCAACAATCTATTTATTCCTGACAATAGCTGGTACATCACACACACATATATATATATATATGTAATATAAATTAAGTTGATAGCTTAAGATTAGTAAAGTAGCTGCGTGAATACCTTAGATTATAAGCATTTTAAGTTTTTACTAACGTTTGGTTTATTTTAAACTTTGCTATCCTCTCTTATTTTCCATCTCCAGGCAAAATAAGGCCGAGTAGGATTTTTATGATAATGAGTTGTTGCAAAACTGTAAAAGGTATTTAAGACGTGGCTTCTAGCCGAGAAGCGAAAGAGCCTTCCTTCTGCCCTGCTCGCGCGTGCGTTCCAGTCCGTTCGTGTCTGCCTTTAGGCCAGAACTTAGTTCCTGCTGATATAATAAGCGTATTGTAGTATTTGCATCTAGGTCACTACATACGCAGGT